GTTATTGATAGTTTTATTACTGTTCTTTGATGAAAGTGTCAAATTGACTGAGCTAATGAAGTACTGCTACTTGGAAATCAGGTGTTACTTTACCAGGCTGTACTTCTGGAATGATGTGATGTTAAGCCTTTCCAAAAAACAGATACCTATGTGCATGTTAGGAAAATGGAATTTGAAAGTGTGGTTTAGTAGAGTATTTATCTTCACACAGAAAAATATGGCCAACTAGAGTTACTGCATCTTATCTCAAACAGAAAAATTTTAATTGTGCTGATTTCATCACTACACCTTTAATATTATTTTGTTTCCTAGAAAATGTATTTCTGGCTTGCAAAGACCTGACTGCAGAGGAGCTTTGTAGCTCGATAATTTGGCTGACGGCAAAGTTATATACCACCAAACTCTTTGCAATGCACTTGGTAAAGTTTCTCAGTAATTCCATAGCAAAGGCAGAAGAGGGGAATGAAGGGAAAGGAGTGGTCCGTTGACTGTCATAAACTGTGATTGTTTTTTCTTTTTTTTCAATTATCCTGCTCAAATCTTGTCTGAACTGTGGCACATGTGATAAGGTTCCCTTTCGTTGCTTCCCTCATTGCTGGCTAGCAGTGACTCAGCAAACAGCTCTGGTTCATTAACACTGGCGGCTTTCCAGAGTTTCTGGCGTTAGGAAGATAACCCATTTGAGAACATGTAAGGCACAGAGTTTTCTTCGGGTTTTGATCTGTTGCCACGCTTTTTACGTTTAACTTCAATATATTTTTTTTGTGGCTGTTGCAAGTGAAAACTCTCTCCCTTCTCTTCTGCTGTGGAGAACTAGAAGTAGAGAGGAGACTTTGAGAGCTCGTTGGGCCACCTCTCAGCTCAAAAGCAGGACAAACAGGTTCTGCAAAGTAATAATCCTGAATCCATAACTGAGTCCAAAAAACGTCTTCTGTGCCAAGCTCTCTTCTTCCTCTTCCAAAGTGCATGGTTGGCAAAATTAAAAGTGGTACTTGAAGCATAATTGGAATTTCCCTCCCTCCACCCCCAGCGTCTAAAGATATAGTGGTTCACTAGGTGTTGTAGGAATGGGATCCTTGAGGCAGGAAGCTCTGAAACTCATCTTTATTGCATTTCACCTCAAATACAAAGATTTCCATAAGTTCTTGCTTTTTTAAATCTGCCAGTGTCCCATCCCCTGCCCCTTTTCTGGTCAGGCAAAGTTTTTCCTCACAAATAAACTTAAGAGCTCGAAAGCTCTTTAACGTACAGTATGAGAGGATCAGGTTAATTGTCAAGATAGGTCCATCGTTATGTTAAATATTAATGAGAGAAATGTGATCAGGAGTAAAGGGGGGGATTTGACACCTAGAATTTGCAAAAGTGATAAAATAAGCTTCTTTGAGAAGAAAAAAGTATGCCATTTTATATGTGGGTTTCCACCAATGATGGGAAGCTTGAAGGTATTAAGTAGAAACAGTATGTTAAAGAGAAGAACAACTTCTGAACAGCAGATGAAAGAGACTGGAAACTAACAGCAGTGTTTTGCTCAGGGGAGGTTGGTTTAGTGTCACTGATGACAACTGACAGTATTTTATCAACAAACTTAGCACGGCTTTAGATAGATGATATGTGACTAGAGACAGTGATATACAGTACCTGTTTGTTCTGCTCAGGGGCATGGTTTAGTGGTGGTATCAGCAGTGTTGGTTTAACAGTTGGACTTGATGATCCTAAAGTTCTTTTCCAACCTAAATGATTCTATGGTATCTGAAGGAGCCACTTCCCTTACTTCTCTCTGAGTAGTCATTTCCTTAGAACTAAAAAAAAAAGGAAAAGGCAGTGCTCATTCATCTTGTGCTGGTTTTAGCCTGGAAAGAGTTAACTCTCTCTACAGTGGCTGGTATGAAGCCATGTTCCCGGGTTTATGCTGAGAAAAGTACTGATAAGTTGTCTTTTTGGCTGGTGCTGGGCAGTACTTGCACCAAACTGAAGGTCTTTCATTGCTTCTGATACTCCAGCTGCCTTCCCAGCTTTCTTGCTACAAGCAGTGTGGGGGGACACACAGCTGAGACAGCTGACCCAAACTGACCGCAGGAGTATTTCATTTCATGGTACGTCATGCTCGGTACATAAGCAGAGAGCGGGCTTGGGGGGCCGTTACACTCTGGCTCTTTATACACTTTCACTTTCTTATGCTTCCTAACACTCACGCCAACTCCCTTGTTAGCTGCTTTGTTAACTCCTTTGCTGGCTCATTCATTAGTGTGTTGGTGGGTCTGTTAGTTTTCCCAGTCGTGCTGTTGATGATAGGGCTCACTTGGATTCTGCTGTGATCACTTTCTGGCTCTGACTCTCACTTCTCAGGAGCTGGTTGTGCATCAGTTGGCGGGTGGTGAGCATTTGTATCAAATCGTATCATATATTTTGTTTTCTATTTGTTTTAATTACTATTAGTGGCATTTGTTTATATTAATTCATACATAAATTATTCATTTAGATTCAGTTAGTAAATAGTTCTTATCTCAATTTTATGAGCTTCCTTGTCTTTTTCTGTGATTCTCCCCCTCTGCTAGAGGAAGGGGGGGACACACCTGTGAGAGCAGCTTTGTGGTATTTTGCTGGCTGGAGTTAAACCACAACACATCTCCAGCTACCAGCTGTAGCACGGCCATCTGTGTGTCTTCCGTTTGGAGTTTTAGATTGGGTGAGCTGTATTTGCTCCAGTTCCTTCAGAGCCTCTTTGACAGCAATTCCACATTGCTGCATACCTTACTTATACCTTGATCCAAATGTTACAGCTGCTGATGGCTAGATGACACTCTCCCAAAGAAAAAAACCAACATCAGGAAGTAGAGATTTCCACATTCTCTTCCAGCTATTCTGACTATCCCATAAACTCATAGGCCAAATGATTAATAGAATTTTACTGCTTAAGGCTCGTATGTTTTCCCTAGAAAAATGTTTTTCATCATTCACCTATCAGTTAGGAAACAAGGAATAATGGGGGAAGCTAGAAGCACAGCTATTTTTTGTGTCTGCTTTCCCAGGTGTTTGGTTCAGTGAGTTTCTTAACATTTGTGAGATGAAACATTTGTAGTATCATGAATTATGAGATTTGTGATGAACTATGAAAATAATTTCTGGCAGAAAGTCCCTAGCCAACTCAAAGCCACACCCAGCCTTCCTGCTAACAAAGGCAGAGCTAACTGGATGACAAAAAGCAATTACATGGAAGGGTTTTGAAATCAGTTGTGAACTCCAGTCAGGCAGTTTCTCAAGGCAAAGTTGGCTTTTGTCCTTGTTGCAGATTAATAGTTGTTACAGGGCTCAGTTCACAGCAGACAGCAGGGAAAAAGCACTTTTGATGGCTTCACTCTTCTGAAGTTTTCTGGTTTTTGACATCAGTGTTGTAAATGTAGTGTGACTTTTGTCTGAGCTGATAAAATGGGATTATTTCATTTACTTTTAACAAGCAGTAAGCCCGTTGCATTTATTCTACTTAATGTGCTGTGCAAGTATGGACTGTGATGAATGGAGTGTGGAAGTGGAAAGAGAATGTTTGCTACTCGTGTTTCTTTAGCTCTCCTGAGTGGTCTTCATTTGATAGGTAGTCTGAATCTCAGTGACTCGCTGAGATTTAAAAGACATGTCAGCACAGAACAGAAGTTGCAAAACTTAAAAGTGGGGTTGGTGAACTTGTTTTGCCTAATTCTGAGCTGGCTCAGTTGTGGGTTCAGATGTATGGCAAATACAGTTAGATTTATAAAGACGAGGACAGAATTCAGAAAAAACAACAGAAAAACCAAAAAGGGAAGCAGAGAGCTGGTGTAATGGGAAAGCAGGCTTAAAGGGGTTTCACTGTGGAGTATATAAATACACCAGCAAGTTTGTGTTAGGTAGGATTTGTGTAGCAAGGCGAGAATGAGGGTGTACAGGGGTGTGTGTGTCACTGATGCAGACCTCTGCTTTTGCTAGAGTTCAGACATGCAGGAGGGAGGAGGAGATGGGGACAGTCTCCATTCCTCGGAGTTAATTTCAAAACCCAGTGCATTGTCTAAGCCTTCATGGGTACCTTGAGAGCCTGCAAACACTCCACCTCTTTGGATTTGTCAGCTTCTGTTTACAGCCTGAGCCGAAATCAAAGAGAGGAAAAAATATGTTTGACAGCTGTATCAGTAGTAGGTTTCTCCACTGAGATAAACTGTGATACAGCTGTCAGATATCTGCTGGCTGTTCAGGCCACTCTTGTGTTAAGGAAAAGGTGGCAGATTGATGTTCATCGGGTTCCTAGAGAGCATGTTGAAGCGGCACAATCTTTGGTGTGGAGATAGCTGGTTTGCAGTAGGTCCAGATCTCAAGGGGTTTGTGTCGGATCTTTCTAAAAGGAAAAGGTTTCGTGTACAGGAGATGCGTTTTGCCATGCATAGGCTTTTGTTCTGCAAATTCACACATGCTTGAAAATCCAGTTCTTTAGGGAAGGTGAATATGCTTTATGAAGCCATTAGTGGATGTGGTTTTTCCTAGTTAGGAACATAGTTATTCATGAGTGTAACAGTCCTACCACAGCTGTTCAGATGCCTTGGGATTTATCTCTGAGAGAGCAGAGGGCTGGGTCAGTCTCCTTGCAGAAAGCATCCTCTGCTTTAATGTTAGGTGTGTTTACATTAGGTAGTTATCACACTTCACTCCGTTAATGGTACTGGGTTTAATCTGCTAGGAATTTCAGAAAAGTAATTCCAAAGCAGATTTAAATGAAATAATTTCTATGTCAAGTAAGTACTCTATAAAATTACGCCAAGATTACAATGGCAAGTAAACATTCTGTGTAAAATTATTCTAGGTTCTTCTTGTATATACTCTAAAAAGGCAACTTGTCTGTATGTTTTAGGCACCCTAATGCACTGCCTCAAAATACTCATCTGTCTTGAAATTCAGTGTATAGTATTACAGCATCAGTCCCTATTGATAACCTTTTATCTTTTTTTTTTTTTTCCCCCTTAATACACAGAGCACTGATCCAGACCAGTACAGACAAAATGTCCAGCAGGGGTGGAAAGAAGAAGTCAACCAAGACTTCCCGCTCCGCAAAGGCTGGGGTCATATTCCCTGTTGGAAGAATGCTACGTTACATTAAGAAAGGCCACCCGAAGTACAGAATTGGTGTTGGTGCTCCAGTGTACATGGCTGCTGTACTGGAATATCTGACTGGTAGGTTTTGCTGAACAGTGTGGCAGTGAAAGTGCTAATAGAAATGGAATGTGCACAGAAAAGAAACGAAAAGGTTCCTCTGGTTTCGAGATGACTAAAAAAGTTATAGCTGAAGTAAGTGCTGTGCTGATCACAGGAGGTACTCCCACCCCTGCCTCAGAGCTTTGATGCCTTTTGCGCATTCCAGCGCTGGATTTGCTTTGACCTGTTGTAAACACTCTTCCACGTAGGCAGTCAGAAGGATTCCTGCTAACATCAATGCCTATGGACCTGGCCTACAGTGTTGCAGTCCTTCCTGCTCCAACTTTGTGCCTGCTGGCTTTGTTTGGGTTATAATTGTCTGTTAAGCATATACATTCCCTTTAAATGGAGAGTTTCTCGGTGTTTACAGAGGGCTGAGATTGCTTGCAGCATTGTTTAAACGTTTAGTTCAATTTACAGATTACTTTTGAGACCACATATGCTGTTTGCAATTTGTTTGAGTCTGTGTATAAATGCACACTCTGTTCATCTGCCCCGAATCAACATGGCTTATTTGCTTACATTTGTAGCCCTTTCTCTATTCCTTTCATCACACCAGGTTGAGCAGGCCTTAAATAATTATCTCATCCTCACAGTACCTTCTTGGGGAACAAAAGTATTATTTTTACTCCATGTAAAAAGAAGCTTCAAAGGAATAAAATGCCTTGCCTAAAGACGTACACAGCTAGACATGCAAGTAAAGATCTCCGCATCACAGTTCTCTCAGATGAGACTCAGCGTTGCAGGTTTACCCCACAAATATTACAGAAGTAGTCTTCTAATGGAAAATTCACCTCAACTGTAATGGCATCAACATTCAGACTTTTTGCAATATTGGTTTGCTTAAAATAAAATAAATTCTAAAAAATGGATACGAATAAACCACCAGTTCAGTCCCATTCCCATGGGCAGATTGGCTTTCAAGCATACACCTGTAGGCTAGAGATGTAGCAAAAAGCACAAGTGCTAGATGGATTGGTGTTCAGAGGCAGATTCTGTTAGCATGACTAAGGAAAAGCTTGGACTGGATCTCGTTTCTCTGGGCAGTGTTGCTTTTGACAGTGCATCTGCCACGTCAGTGTTCTCACTGCAGCAGGCTCGAGTGTTAGGAGGGACAGTAGTCTCTAAGCTGTAACAGTGCGCTGAGTCTCTGGGGAAGAGATGCAGTTCGTAATTCATAGAATCACAGAATGGTTTGGGTTGGAAGGGACCTTAAAGATCATCTAGTTCCAACCCCCAATGCTTTCATTTAAGCACAAAGTAGTAAAGTGAGTGGTTTAACTTTGCTGGCAGTATTTAATACCAAAGTGACCTGACTCTTAAAACAATTTTAGGTACACTTTATAATAGATATTGGCACTGATGAGCAGAAATAGGCTGATTTTTTTTTTTTCTTCTTCCCCTAAAGATAAAGACTGATAACGTTGGGCAATAATAAACAGAGTGCTTGTTTTCTGTAAGGTTCAATATTATGTTACTGATGGCTGAGAAAATTCAATTACCTTTTTTCTTCATGGTTTTCTTTATTTGGGCCTTTTCTTTAAAAGAATGCTTTTAAACTTCATAGATGGCCTTAAAAAACTTAACATTTCCTTCAGCTAGGTTCCTGCTTCCAGCAATAACTACCCAAATAAAATGCTACTTAGGGTGAGGGGTGCTTTGAATGCTGCCCTTTGAAAGAAGCAGCAATACAGGTGAGCTTAAGGCGCTGCTAATGAGCAGCACATGGTAGTGGTTAACTGGTTTGAAGTGTTTACTGAGGCACTGATGGCTTAGGCAGCACAGAATAGGCTGGGGAAATAAAGGTGTTTCTTGAACTGCTGTGCATCCTGGGAAACTGGCTGACGACATTTAACAACCAACCAAAAACATTTGCCTACATCGCTTCTTTAGGGGGGGAAAAAAAGGGAGAGGGGAAGGAGAGCTAAGGGGAAAGGTACCTTCTGTTTTTTCCTCCCTTTATTTGTAATCTGTTTGGGGTTTTTTGGTTTGTTGATTTGTTTTTTTCTCCTCTGAAGGCGAGGTAGGTATCCTACTATCCTGTATCTCAGGATTTTCTTTCATTCTTATATACAGATGTAGCTCAAAAGCATAGATTCTCTTTGCTTTCCTTACTGAGCTAGTAGTAGTCTTACATTTAATGACTGTTCCAGTCTGGTGGTGTTTATTTTCTCCTTCTCTTTCTGTAAGTCTTTCACACTCTATATAGTGTAATTTTTTAGCCTTTAATGCCCAGTGTGTTTTCTGAACTTCAGGTCATTCATCTTTTTCAGTATGATTTGAAACACTCCCTTGAAATGAGATGCTTGGAGGTTTTTGGTTTGTGTTCTTTTTACCTCTTGGCAGTTATTGCTTCACAAAACCAGAGAAGTCCTGACTTTTCTCCAGGAGAGATTTTAAAGATGCTCATGTCAGCACATGATCTGAGACTAAATCAAAGCATTTCAACCGTTTCAAAATTAGAGCAGGAACGTGACATAACAGGAAGGAGACCATGTGAAGTGGCATGCTAATAAATTGGCTAAATCAAAAAAAGCAATTCTGTGCATCCAGGAAGGAGAGGAGAAACTTAAAATATCAAAAGCAGTTGTAGGAAAGAACAACTTCAGAAAAGACTAGGAGGGGAAATGACAGAGACGTGACCTAATAGAGAGGAACCTACTAAGGTCTGAAAACTAGTTCATGTGTGTGCAGAATATGGCACTGACTTTAATCCTTTAGAAGATGAAGTGCTATATTTTGCTGACCTTTTCTGAAGTTGAACTCTGATGTAAATCTGAAATTAGCCCATAATGTGCTCAGATCTGGGATTTTGGTTTGTTTCAGTTTGAGATGTGAACTTCCGTAATGCTTCCAGCTGTGCAGATTTGGAGTTCTGTTCTGGATCCATCTGTCGTTATGACTTTATCCCCTTTATACTTTGAAGGTAACTTACTGTTACCATGTATGTGCTGCTGCCCATCCAAAAGTGAAGATACACATTCCGTGATTTCTTGCAGTGTATGGGGCCATTTGCGATTTAAGCAGAAACCTTCTTCAGTCTGTGCCCAGTGAAGCGCTTTTCAAACTGCCTTTATGTTCTTCTCATACTTCTGCACTAGCATGTGTGTGCCCGGTGCAGCTCCGTGGGCAGGAACACGCACTGGTTTAGCACACAGGAGTCAGTCTGCTTCAGTTACTGTGAACCGAATGTTGTGCATCTGCCGTGCTGCTTTTCAGCCTCTTGGCTTCTCACAACTTCTACCAGTGGCTGGCTGGAATACAGCTTCCCTGTGTTGTCTGTTACAGTAACTTCAATAATAATAATAGTACAGCTACTATCAAATTAGCTGTACAATTTGTCTTCTGGTCTTCAGCTAACAAATTGGTTTTCCTTATCTTACATTTCAATATACTTGATATATAAAGGGGTTGCAGAGTGAGTATTATCCTGCTCTTACTTAGTCACTTAAGGTTCTAGTTACCTACAAGTCATAGAATCCCAGAATGGTTTGGGTTGAAGGAACCTTAAAGCCCACCCAGTCCCACCCCCTGCCATGGGCAGGGACACCTTCCACTAGACCAGGTTGCTCCAAGCCTCATCCAGCCTGGCCTTGGACACTTCCAGGGATGGGCCATCCACAGCTTCTCTGGGCAACCTGTCCCAGTGCCTCCCCACCCTCTGCGGGAAGAATTTCTTCCTGATGTCCATTGTAAATCTCCCTTTTTCAGTTTAAACCTGTTACCCCTTGTCCTGTCACTACAGGCCCTTGTAAAAAGTACCCCCCAGCTTTCTTGTAGACCCCCTCATCAGCACACTCAGTGACTGCAGTTTGGTTTCTGAACCATATCACCTGCTTATTCTTTCCTGCTTTTCATCTGAGGAAATAATGTGTAATGTCCCCTGTAAACAGGATGCAAGTGTGTGTTCCTGGGTGAATGTGCAGAAAGTACCTTGGAGTTTTACCAATATTGAAGCAAGTGAATACACTTCTTTACCCTGGAGGAACAGTGTGGATGCTGGAGAACTATGCTGCGTGGTTCTTTCTTTTCCTTTTTTGCAGTAGAAGTTCATGCAGAACTGCCTATCTTGCAGGCAGTAGTCAGAATATTGGATTAATTTCTCCTTATGCTGCAGAACTAATTTTAAGCATTATCAACTGCTTTAAGCTGGCAGAAAGTACAGTGTAAGCAATTCCTTTTGTCTTCTTTCCTTACTGTGGCTCTTCTTTTACCATGGTTCGTTGGCTGTTTATCTTCCCTAACGTGTACTTGAGGAAACTGCAATCCGCTCCTTGTTTTCTCTGCAAAGTAGTGCGTTGGTATCAGTTTATGTCAAAAAATAAATACTAGAGTAGTGGAGAGGATGGCCACAGACTTCATTTGGGCATTGCAGCCACTCAGATGAAGTTGTGTGGTTTGTATCTGTCAGAAGTGGTCCAGCTATACATGTAATCAGGCATGCTCCTGTCGCACAAGTTACAATATAGTCCAAACTTTTTTACTAACTGAAAAAGACAGTCCTTTGTCCTTAATAAATAGAAACCTCTTGAGCGTATTTAAAGGCAGTAGGAACCAGGCCTGCAAGTGATTTCTGTTCCCCCTGCCCCCCATCGTCTTCTCTACATTGTAAATAATTTTCAATTGCCAAAATGTCATAGCAAATGAGGAGAAGGGGGAGTTTATAAAACAGCAGGAGAACAGGAATACAGAAGAAATGAGACTTTGATTTATATTTCTTCTGTACATACTGAAGTGAGGTAGGAGAAATGTTAAATGTCTGTTTTCTCCATTAGATTTTTTTCTCAACTGGATTTTTATTGCCCATTGTGTACTGTTGATCAGGTATTTTGTTAAAATGTAAAATAAGCACCTTTTGAATCCCACAGTTAGAATTGCACCTGAGTCATTCTGGTGCTTACCTGAGTTTTTGTCTTCAGGCTTTTTGGTGTCACTAGAATCCCTTAATAGAGGTTCATGTGCTGGAGCTCAGCTTGTTG